GCCAACTGCTAGTCCCTATTATCATATCTTTTATAAATGAGGAACTGCAGCTCTGCAAAGTTAACTTGCCCAAGGTCTCACGGCTAGTGTGGAAGCCAGGATAGAGCATAGGTGGCCTGACTCCAGAGCCTGCACACTAATACTCTGTACCTGCTGTTATTAAGGACTGGCACACAAGGAGCATCCAATAGGGCTGTGCTGAGATAATATTGCTCACCTTATTGGTAGTCTCACGTCAGAAGGGCACAGGCCCTGAGCAGTGGCCAAAGTGCAGAAAGCTTCAACACCCAGGTCAGGGCAGTGGAATCACCACAGCACCACAACCAGACTGGTCAGGAGGCTCTGCCAACATCCAGGAAATGAGTTCAGGAAGGGCAGGATGTGAGAGAGCTGAGGGGGGATGCAAGACTTGTCAGCAAGGAGGAATCTCCAAAGAAGAGTGACAGCAAGAAAGGCAATCCAGTCTGAGACAGGAAAAGAGGTGAGGGGAAGCGAGTCTGGGAAACCTCTTCCTAGAAAATTCATGCATTTACATTCACAAAGGAAATGAATCAGACATTTGCAAAGGGAATTTCATGATAACATTAGTAATAACAGCCACTCTGCCAAATACTGTACATATCTTAATTCATTTACTCCTCGGAACCACCCTATGAAGTAGGTGCTATTCTACAGTGATTCCCCATTTACAGGTAAAGGACCTGTGGTACTGGGAAGTAACTTACAAATACAGCAAGAAGCAGGGCCAGATTTCAAATACAGATGCTCCTCAACGTATGATGGGGTTGTATCTTGATAAGCTCATCTTAAGTTGGAACTGTAAGTCAAGCATGTACCTAATACACCCAGTCTAACAAACATCATAGCTTGGCCTAGTCTACCTGAAACATGCTCAGAAAGCTTACATTAGTCCACAGTTGGGCAAAATCATCTAACACAGCTGGGGAACCAGTAGATGGCGTAATGGTTACATTGCTGGATTCCCACATAGTTGACCACAGTTCGAGTCCTGGACCCGGTGGCTTAAAAAACTCATGCCAGGTGCGTGCGCATGCGTGCCCAAGATCCTGATAAGAAGGGACTGAAATGTGGCCGTGATTTCTCACTTTCTGTCTCTCTGTCTCTCTGGTGAGCACACATGTCCTACAGCCAAAATCTCTCTCTTTAAAAAAACAAACAAACAAACAAAAACACATACCAGGCATGTGTGCGTGCATGCCCAAAAGTCCTGGGAGGAGAAGGGATTGCAGTGTGGCCATCCCCTCTTGGGGGGTGATTTCTTGCTTTCTGTCTCTCTAGAGAGCATGTGCCCTATAGCAAAAATCTCTCTTAAAAAAATAAATCAAACACAAAGCCTATTTTATAATAAAATATTGAGTATCTCATATAATTTATTGAATACTCTCCTGAAATTAAAAACCATGATTATATGGGTGACCAAAGTACAGTTTCTACTGAATGCACATCACTTTTATACCATTGTAAATGGAAAAAATCGTAAGCAAAACCATTGTAAGTTGGGGACCGGCTGTGCAGATAGTCTGGCTCCCTGTCCGTGCTTTAACCCTACACTGTTGCCTCTGGTGATCAGACAGACCTACCTGCTCCTGATTCAGATGAAAAAAATGAGGCTCCGTGACTTCTCCCCAAGGTTACAAGTTGGTCAGTAGCTACATCAAGGAAGTTAATGATATGCAAAAAGTCATTATTTGCTCCATGAAGTTTATGTTTTAAAGCAAGTAGTGTCACTGACTGGTCTTATGACCTAGGTCAAGTCCCCTGGTTTAAGGCTAGAGGGTTTTTGCACCCAGCACGTTGTTAAGACAATGCCCTGCAGGAAGCAGTCTTTTGCTCATTTAGCGAACATTAGGTATATACAAGCCCTGTGGTAGGCATTGAGAGAGAACAGTGAGCGAGACACGGCCCTGAACTCAAGGGGCTCCGGGTAGGTCCAGTATAGGGAAGACATCGAATGGACAAATGCACAGAAGTGTTACAGATCCTAAGAGATTACTGAAGGGGGAAGCCTGAGAAGGGCCAGAAGGACAGAGTCATTTCAGCTGGAATGGGGCCAGGGAACACCATGAAAGAGGTGATGCTGATCCTGAGTCATGGTGACTCAAGGGGACAGGAAAAGAGAATGGCACAAGAAGTAGATCGAACGAGTGCGTAGAAGCCCAGTGGCAGCATGGCATAATTTGACTATGGTAGGTAACACAATTGCTCCCAACGCTGTCTATGTCCTGATCCTCAGAACCTGTGACTGTTACCTTGCATGGTAAAGGGACTTCGCAGAATAAAGACCCTGCGATGAGGAGACTAGCCTGGATTGGGTTGGGCTCAATCTAATTACATGAGTCTTTAAAGGTAGAGGCAGTACGGGGAGGGTGGCCAGAGAGAGGAAATGTGACAAGAATTCAACCTACCATTGCTGCTTCTGAAGATGGAAGAAGGGTTCTATAAGTCAAGGAATGCAGGAAGCTTCTGGAAACTAGAGAAGACGAGGAAATGCCTCCCAGAACCTCCAGAAAGGAAGGTTCTCCGAACACCTTGATGTTAGCCTTTTTTTTTTTTT